AAATAAGGGGAGAAGAATTCATGTACTATAAGAAGGGTACCTGTTTACAAGTTGCCCACAGAGAGGCAATTTTGTTGTGTTTGAGGACATGACACATTGTGCTCTCACAGTTCCTCTCCCCACCCAAGAGTGTGAATGGCTAACAGACAAAGCTGTCAGGGGAACTTGATGAACTGCTGAGGGGGGAGGGGAAAGGGACTGAATTGCAATGGAGCATCTTCTCAGAGAAAGTAGCTATACTGTGTTTTCTCTTTTATGTTGAGCATGGTAGGTGAATTAAAGTTCCAAACCTGAGGAGTATTCTTCCACCTGTTGAATTTTCAAGAATTTTAAGCAATTTTTCAGGAAATTTATTACTAAATCCAGGGAATTCTACATCAAACTGCACTAAAAAAAACTGACGCTTTATTGGGTTTAATGGATGGAGGTCTTTTAACATAATCTTACACTCCATTGGTGCTCTGAAGGCGATAGGGTTGGAGAAGAATATTACTAGGAACCAAGCCAGTCTTTCTATCTATCAACTTTAATTTCGTGCTTGATTCAGCTAAAAACTGAAAAGATAATTATAAAGAAAGGGATATCACTACAGTTAATAATATGAAACAGGGGGCGTATCACAATACTAGAAAATTACTAAATATTTCAAATCACTAGTAATACCGGCAATAACATCAAACCCAAATGTAACTAAATCGACAAGCATCCACAATAAACTACAAATCATACCTTTTTCTCCAATCTTAACTCTTATTCTTTGAGTCTTTTATCCTTTGCTCCGTTCATTCTGATTGGATGTGGTTATGGAAAAGGCTAATTTGATATGAGTATCTAATGTTCCTTGCGTGACAACGGAAGTTACGTAAACACTCTTAACTATTACCTGTTCATCAGTTATACTGGGTTTCAAGTGCAATTGAAGGCAGAATTCACGAGTCACGAGATGGAATTTCCTTGAATCGCATAATTTACTGCACTACTTACAGTTGTTATGTATACATAGGTGTGAAACATGTAAAAGGTTGAGTTGTGTTTTAATGATTTTCAGTTCTTCTCATGAAAAGAAGGCAAAAGGCAGCATGGAAGGCAAGCAGGTCAATTCTTGACTTTTTATAATTAAAAGGCATCAGTTTTAAAAACAAAATAATGATACTGTGAAATNTTTATTCGAGCTTGTCCGATCTTGCCCGATTGATTTCCGACATTCGTGTCGTAGTTGTCTGTTTATCAAAATCGCCCTTTGCAGTTCTCCAAGAACACTGCAAGAATCTTGAACTGTTATTAGAGGCTTTTGCGTACTGAAATCAGAGTAGAAAAATGCTATGTTTGCAGAAAGTCGAAGGGAAATCCTATGATCCATCTCTGCAACCGAAAAAATTTTTGCTTAAACCGACTGTCACTCGTCTCGGACGCAGTGGTGAAAACTCGGATGTTGTTATGGACAGTGCCATGTGTCCTTTAATGATTAGTCGTGTTCATGCTGAAATTCATTTCAATGATGGAAGGTTCAGGATTAATTGTCAAGGACTGACCGGGCTGCTAGAAAACAAAACAAAGCGTAGTTCTGCTGTCCTTTGCGATGGTGATGTAGTTGTCTTAGGAGGTGCAGGAGCTAAAACGAAAGAAGGACAGAGTTTGTCAGCGTACGATTCGGAACTTGTTTATGTTTTTAGTGAGGTCTGCCAAAATGATTCTGAAGAAGTGGGCTCCTTTGGAGAAGGAACTAACGATGGGAGTGTGCGAAGGCGAACCAAACGGAAAAAGCCTGTATCACCAAGTGAACTACAGAGGTAGGGGTACATAACAGAGAGGTACTGGTGTACTTTGAAAGGTGTTAGAAGGGCTACTGGACCCAAGGGAAGGAGTGCGGACTAGACAGAGGTGACAAATTTTAAAGGGGGGCTGTCTGCTTTTAGATCCTAGAAATATGTTAGAATAATGAAGTCTTCCAGGAAGTCTTATGGAAATAAGGGGAGAAGAATTCATGTACTGTAGTAGAAGGGTAACCGTTTATAAGTTGCCCACAGAGAGGCTCACAGTTCCTCTCCCCACCCAAGAGTGTGAATGGCTAACAGACAAAGCTGTCAGGGGAACTTGATGAACTACTGAGGCGGGAGGGGAAAGGGACTGAATTGCAATGGAGCATCTTCTTAGAGAAAGTAGCAGCTATACAGTGTTTTCTCTTTTATGTTGAGAATGACAGGTGAAATAAAGTTCCAAACCTGAGGAGTATTCTTCCACCTGTTGAATTTTGAAGAATTTCAAGCAATTTTATAGGAAATTTATTACTTTTCTAAGGAATTCTACATCAAATTGCAGTAAAAAAAACTGACGCCATATTGGGTGTAATAGACGGAGGTCTTCTAACATAGTCTTACACTCCATTGGTGCTCTGAACACGATAGGGTTGGATAAGAATATTACTAGGAACCAAGCCAGTCTTTCTATCTATCAACTTTTCTTTAATTACGTGCTTGATTCAGCTAAAAACTGAAAAGATAATTATAAAGAAAGGGATATTACTACAGTTAATAATATGAAACAGG